TAAAAGGCCAGCCAGGCCCAGGCAGTCCTGGAGTCCAGGAGAGCCAAGAGGCCAGGTGCAGTCCCCCGTGGGCCAGCTCAGCTCTTGCTAGTTTCTCATAGAGGTGGAGCCGGACCATGGGAAAGGCTGTCTTTAGGCAGAGGAGAGTGTGCTGTGAACTGCAGGACCATGGAGTAAACCGAAGGATACCCCCAGACAGAACTTAATCACTTCCAGTTTTTCCATAAAGACGTGAGGCAAAATTGGTGCTGTGTTTGCTTTAGAGGAAGACCAGTGGGACTGTTGTTCTCCCATGCTTTCAAAATCTAAGAGGATAATTTGTACAGACCCTGATATGGAAGAAATTCCTCCACTTTAATTTATGAAGTATTTGTCTTTCATTTATTCCTGTGGACATGATATTTTTTAGAAAGCAACTCTGTCTGTATGACCTTATTTTAAATACCAGGCAAGGAGATATTTCCTTTCTTCATTTGGGCACAGGGCTGAATCCAGAAATCCTGGGACCACCCTGAGTGGTCCCAGTGTTAAACACAGTGTTGGATTCTGGAAAAAGGAGCCCATTAAAACAGAATTGGAAAGAGAAACTCATGGCATTTACACATCTTTTTTAACCCTGTACTACGTGCTGGGGGTTACAGACATGGTTTATGTATGGCCAGGCCTCTGGGATCTTCTATGGGACTGGGAGAGGAGCAACAGTTCAGAAATGTATCTCCCGTTGTCCAGGCAGAGACCCCCTGCTAAGTCACATTGCCCATCAGGAAATGCCTCACTCATGTTAGCTTAAAAATAGCCTTCTTGTTTGGCCCCCTTGGGGGTGGGATATGAAAAGCATATATTCCCACCAGTCCAGTTGTCCTATTTTCTCAGGCCTCAGCATGGATGGAGTTGCTATAGCAACTCTGTAAACAGTATCTAATCTGTGTCAATGATTTTATATATATATATATATATATATATATATATATATATATATATATATACATATATATATATTTTCTGCAAATATCACCAAGTCCAAGAAATTGACCCTCCTATGAACATGACAGCTGGAATAGGTGAAGAATCCTACTTCTGCTAGATCAGAAGTGAAGATTTTTTTCCAACACGGATTTGAGTAAGGGAAGTGGGCACCCCATGGCTTGAACACCCAGGCAGCTTCCTCTCTGCAGTCAGCCTTGGCCAGGACAGCCACTGAGCTGCCAGCCACAAGCCACACATCCCCAAGGCTGTGTTGGCCTTGGTGGCCACAGCATTGGGAAGAAAACTCTAGCCTCTGTACTTTGGCTCAGAGAGAGCTGTAACTTGAGCTGAATTCATTGTATCCTTTTTTTTTTCCCCCCTTGGCTGAAGAGAATGAGGAAATCAATAGATAAATATTTTAGAACAGGAGTCCACAAGCTGCAGGCTAAATCTGGTCTGCTGCTTATTCTTATAAATAAAGTTTTATTGAGACACAGCCATGCCTGTTTCTTTACATGGCGCATATGGCTGCTCTCACAGCACTAGTTACAACAGAGACTGCACAGCCTAGAGCGAAATGGGTTTACTAGATACCCTTTACAGAGGAAGTCTGCTGACTCTGTTCTAAAAGAAGCAGAGGAAGGATTTGGGGAGGAGGAAAACTAATCTCCATGGAAATCTGGGTGAAGACCAGAATGAGGCAGGAGCCAACATGGAAATGTAGTTTGTGAGTATGAGGAGGCTGCTGGGTGTCCGCAAGTCTCTGAAGCCTGAGGCAGGAAATGGTTGTCTCCTGAGAGAAAGCATTTATCTCTTTTTACCAGAGAGGAATTAAGAGATGGTGGCTTCTCAGATCTTCCAGGTAAAGAAACAGGGCTTTGCCAACCAGTAAGTGGAGGCTGGAGGAAAGTGGGAAAGACAGCTTCCAAGCTGGTGGGGAATTTGTCCGATTCAGACAGCTAAGCTTGTGTTTGCCTAGAACACCAGGGAGATGAGGGGCAAAGGTGGGCGGAGGAATTTCTTAGAGTTCTTAGAGGCCTGGTTGGCACTCAGGGTTGTTCCTAAGAGGAAAATTGGGAGTTTGGCCCACTGGCTTCATGGAGAACCTATACTCTTTGTAAAGGAGAAGTAGTCTTTCTTGGCTTCTGGAAACTCTATGTTATCAGCTGGCATTCTGAGGCCTCAGTCTGCCCACCTTCTGCCCCAGAAAGATGCTTTTCAGTTCCTTGGAAAACAATACAGTCATTTACCCAGAGAGACAAATCCAGGTCCAAAGCAGGGGAACTCTGAGTTTCAACCTCAGCCTCTCTGGTGCATGAGGCAGGTCTCTTGACTCCCTCTGTCTTGCTATTCTACCCATAAGACAACTGCGTTCCCAGCCTGGGAGGGTCTTTGCCTGAAACCTTGGCTTGTTTTCATTTTATAACTGTGGAAATTGAGTTCCGGGTTAATTTCTGAGCTGGTGCTTTATCTTCTCAGGATAGGTCGTGCTTAATGTTAGCTGGTGAGCGCCCACATATAACATGTGTGCAGTGTGTGTGTGTGTGTGTGTGTGTGTGTGTGTGTGTGTGTATCCCCGTGTGTGTACATCAGTATATATAAATGATGGACTCGGAGCTTGCCTTTGTTGGGTGGAAATTTAGCAGCACTGGGAGACCTAAGCCAGTTTCAGGGATGGGAAATAGTAGGGTACAAGGGGAACACAGACCAAGGACAGTGAGCTTCCACGAAGCCACAGGTTCCTTATCAGAGACTCTACACTTGCATGTTGCTGAGGGATGGGTGTGGAGCTTTGGCGAGGATGATCAGTGTATTAGCATTGGCCCAGATTGGAGCATCCACTTGGGGCTCCCCATTTCAGTGGTCACCCCAGCTCTCAGAGCACCACGTGGTCCTCCTGGGTTGGCCAGACAACCTCGACATGCCAGGCTCTGGGGACAGGGACAAAGGTGAGCAGGACCAATATGGTCCCCGTCTTCACGGAGCCTAATTTTAGCTGGGGACATAAACAGGAAACATGTAATGATAAAATCAGTTAGTTACGAACGAGATGAGTGGTAGCAGGAGAAAGTGCCTGGAGCTACAAGAACTTAACAATGGAAGCCTGCACTCGTGGGGGGCTCAGAGATGTGGTTTTGGTTCGCTCATGGAGGGATGCAAAGACACACCCTGGGTGAATGAGGTGGAGGAACTGGAGACTGGCTTCAGTGGAGGCCCTGCTTTTCCAATGGGAAGATGGAAGGCTAGTCTGAGTGGGTAGTCAGCACAAGAGAGCCAGAGGGACAAAGGTGAGGAGGGTGGGGACAAGGTCTTCTCAGATTGTATACTGCAGGATGATTGAGGCCACATCCTCTTTATCACTTCTTACCCATGTCCCCCCCTCACCCAACGATGGGAACCCAAACTGTCCCTCTCGCCTGTGACCCTGGAAAACCTCGCACTGAGAGGAGCCTGTCAGCAGGGCCAGGGCTTGGTATCGTCGGACCTGAAGCTTATATAATTTGGGAGGAAAGTTCCCTTGAAGGAAAATGTGAAATTACAAAAAACAAAGTTAAGTTCAAGGCCTCAGTCAGGGCATGACAAGGAGGGACCTTCAGGTTCAATTTCAAAGGTGAAGCCACCTTCGGTGCTTCCCCCTCATCCCTACTCTCAGAGAGCCTGCCTCTGTCTCCGAAGACATCTATGCAGTCCACATCAGCTTCCTGCTGTTCTCTCCTTGCTTGAGATCACAAAGACCCAGTGTCTTCTATCAAATTCTCCTGGAAATCTGGCTCTCTCCTTCCTCCCAGTAGTGTCCAAAAGAACACGGGGATTTCCTACTTTTGCCCAAGACTTCCGTGATTTTCCCCCCTGCCACAATCAAGGCAGGGAATGTTGGCTGGGGCGCTTTATTCTTTTGGAAATGTGACGGAGGAATATGAATTTCCATAGGCAGAAATGTTCTGTCTGGTAGGTCTAGACTGTCCGTGAGCCAGCAAGTTCACTGGAGCCCGCGTTGGCGCTCTGAGCACCGCCTGGACGTACCCCGTGGGATGGGAACAAATCCCTTGGAACTATGTTCTGTGGTGGGGAAAAACCACAGGCATGATCAGTGACAGAGAAGTTTAATAGTGAATGACTTACAACTGAAAAATGATAACAGGCTCTTCTCTCCAAAATCCAAAATGATCAAAGCCACTTTCCAGTAGTGAGCAGTGTCTGTCAGTCGGGAACGTGGGGAGTCTGCTGTCCTTAGATGAGACATGTCAGAGCACTCCAGAGCTCCAGTCGAGTGTAAGGGAGGGACCGGCCACCCTGTTGTGGGGTATAGGGGAAAACTAACTCCTCCCAAGGTGCCGCCCCCGATTCCCTGGCCAGCCTCCACACAGGCCCAGCTCAGCGCACTGCACAAGCACTCTGAACAGCGGGCTGGCTTGGCGCACTGAGAGCTGGGCCCCAGCACTGGGTGGGGCTTTGGCCATTGAGGTCCGATCTGTTCTGGAGGCTGCCCACTCCCTACCCCTAAGATGCAGGAAAGGGTCCGCTCAGCCCTGGTGTAGTGCCCTCAGCCTGATAGCCACAAGGCCTTTTAGACTGTTCTCTTTGCAGCTAAACATTATCATATCCCATCACTCAGGCGGAACCCACCTCCATCAGAGACTTTCTGCCTCCCCAAGAAAGCAAACAGAAGGAAATGACCACACTGTAATCTAAGAATTCTTTACGCAACTGGATTATTATTCACGCACCATCTGAGAGCATTTAAGGATCTTCTCAAGGAAGAGGTTCCTTCTTGAGGAACCTACTAGAAGAAGCACTTCAGCAGCCTGAGACATGAACCACAGGAGGAAGGCATGCTGCAGCCCAGCCCCCCACTGCTGTGGGTTCCCCCGGAGGAGGAGGAGCCCTCACTTCGGTGGGGGGCTGGCTTCCCGGGAGGAGAGAGTGGGAAAGCTTTCACAGAAGGAGTTCCTGCTGATTTGGAAGGAAATAGTTGGCTGATATTTACTCCTTTGCCGTTAAATCCTGTTCTTCCTGTCTTCTCTCCCCCACAGACCGTCTTTGAAAGGAACTGCCGCTCAGAGGACTGTGCCGCGGACCTACAGCTCCAGGGTCAGCTGCTGCTCTCCAGGTAACCCAGCCCTCCTCCTGCCACCTCGTTCTGGGAGGCTCCTTTGTCAGGACCCCAGGCCTGAAGCCTGAATGTGCAGAGTACCCCCCCACCCCACAAAGAGGAGAACTAGAATTGGTGGGATACAATGCTCTACAACAGTATTTTATAGCTTAACAAGAAGTATGTATATTATACAATAATTTTTTAAAAAAGCTTTTACTTGAGAGGGAGCAAGTTAAAGAGAACGTGCAGGAGCTGGGAGGCAGAGGGTCGAGCAGACTCCCAGCTAAGCTGAACAGGGAGCCCAGTGCAGGGCTCCATCCCAGGACACTGAGATCATGACCTGAGCCGAAGGCAGAGGCTCAACTCACTGAGCCTCCCAGGCGCCCCTGCAATAATTTTAACAATAGCTATCCTCTGGTGGGGATGATTAGCTCTTTGTTTCATTTATGGTTCCGCATACCTCACAGTTTAGCCTGTATTTCTGATTCCTGTGAGTATTTGTGTGATGGAGGGAGTATTTTATAGTTACTCATTGTATGAGATTGAACCATAAGAAATTGCCAGGGTTTAACTGGGACAGTTCCTATGATTTGACTTAATATTATAATAAGATTCTTTTAATGTTTCCCCCCCACTTAACAATGGCATCTGCTTTCACAACAGGTGAAGGCTCTTTGGTGGCGGGAGGGTGTGCCGGGAGGGGTAGGCGATGTGATCCCCGGGAACAGACCAGCTCTGTTGTTTCAGGCTTCCCTCCCCCAGTATGAGAGTCCTCCTAGCGAAGGTAAACCACACAGAGGCCTCCTGTTTCCTCTCTGCCAGCCTTTTATTTTAGACACCTTATAGGGTGAAGGTGCTGGTCCTGAATCATTTGGCCACATTTCAGAGACTGGTTTCCTTTCAAGACAGTTCCTTTGGAACGATCGTTTTAGCCTGGGGGCCGGAATGTCTGTCCATACATGTATTACCATTTCAAAAACTGTCCTCACTTTTGATACTTCTCCAAATGCCATTGTATGTCCCTTATTTGTAACCATGAGAGTTAAGTTTGGGTGGATGTAGACATATCTATCCCATTATGAACCAGTGACTGCACTGAAACACACTTTTGTTGATAAATTACCTATTATTTATCAAAAGAAAGTAATACTAAGATTTTTTTTCTTTTGTTTTCATTTATTGGGCAAAAGATGATATAACACCCCATACACACACACAAATACTTCTCCAAGCCACTTAAATGTTAATTAGCATTACTTTGACTTCTGACAAAAGTGGTAAATTAAAATGGCACACGTTTTGCCAAGCTGAGAAAATGACTTCAAATAAAAGAAGTGGATATCAGAATTTTTTTTAAGGTAAAGAAGTTCCTGCAGTTATTGGAGAAACCAGTTCTAAAGAAAGTTCACAAATTATCAGGTCATTACTTTCAGTTTTAAATACGTCTTCCAAAAAGTGTCTTAGGGACAAAGTAACATAAAACAAAAATACATGAATTTGTGTTGTCTTGAGGCAGACAGTAAATGTTGGAAGTTTGTTTTGGATCAGAAAACTTTATGTGGTAGGAAAATGTTCACTTGCTCCAAGGTTAAGTATTAGGTTAGTGAAGTCCTGATGTTCCAGCTGCCCACTGATGGACATAGTCAAGTTCATCTCTGTGCCATTGTGCATTTCTTGTATTAAGACATAAAACCCAAGGCTCATGGTTGGTAAGCCACTGGTGGTTAAAACAGCCTTGACTGCCCCTCAGGAGTGTTGATCAGAACCAGGTCTGCTCTGTGGGCCCAGAAATTGATAACTTGAGAACAGTTACAGTGGCCAGGACCCAGACCCCCCATATGTATCAGCGAGCTTTAGCCACAGAGAAAGGCTGTGTAACAAAGCACCTCAAAACTCAATGGCTTAAAACAGCAGTCATCTCTTTTAATGGATCTGCAGGTTAACTGAGGGTTGGCGGGTCCAGGCTGGACTCAGCTGGATCTTGGCTGACTTGTCCATGCATCTGGGGTTCAGCAGAGAGTAGGTTGATCTCGGCTAGGTTCGGGTGACCCAGTTTAGCTCTGCTTCATATATCTTTCATTGTCCTGCTGGAACACTCGGCTAGCATGGACTTATCCTTCTCATGGCTTGGCGACAGCACAAAGGGCAAGCAGAAACATGCAGTAACCCTTAAGGTCCCAGCTCAGACCCGGTGCACTGTTACTTGAGCCTTACTCTGTTGGTCACAGCAAGTCATATGACCGACCCCCAAGTCAGGAAAATATTCTGTGCCCCCTTAACGAGAAGAACTGCAAAGTCACAGAGCAGAGGACCTAAGTTCATGGAGGGGTGAACTGGGACCTAAAAGACAGTCTGCACTACCACATGAAGAAGAGGGCTGCTCTCTTTCCTGATATCTTATAGTTTCCAGGGATGTTTCAGCCTTTCTGGTAGTTCCATCATCCTTGACTTAGACACAAGACCTAGAGACTGGGTAAGGAGATTTTCTGAATCTCAGAAGTGGTGCCCTTGGACGAAAGCTATGATCCTGTCCTTATGATAAGTTATTTCCCAGGAGGCTGGTCTCTCAAAATAACCTTTTGTCTGGATCCCACATTAAACCTTCATTGTATCTTGGGCCCCTGACTGTCCCCAGAGGAGTCATCAAAGAAACATTAATTGGTAATGGGTGGGGAGAGACACAGTACCAAATGGTGGTTTTCCTTAGACCTTCACGTAGATCCAGGTACAAAGTAAGGGAAGGCACAGGCATTAAACTGCTGGTGGAAACCAGGGTCTGAATTTGGTTGACAAAATCTTGGTTGTTGAACCAGAACTGAGCTACTCTGGTTTATTACTGAGCTCTGTTGAGCCATGATTGCCCCAGGTGGGAGCCGTGATTGCCTCCGGGTGGGATGCACATCCCGTAACTGCTCAAATCAGGGAAACACTGGGCATCAAGCTGCCAACATGACCAGTGTGTGCGCCATGCTCTCCCAGCATGCACCGTGTAGGTGGGAGAGGCAGCCAGGGGGTGGTGGCACCACCTGGTCAGTGCTAGAAGAGAGGAAGATGGATCATCATAGGACCATGGAGCGGCTTCCAAGAGGAGGAAGGAAAGAGCATGAGGAAGAGGATGCAGGTATTCTGGGCGGAGAGAAAACGTGAGCAGAGGCATGGAGGTGTGGAGGGCCAATGCCTGCAAAGATCCGCAGGTGTCTGGAATGAAGGTGAGGAGGTCAGGAGGACTTGGTGAGGGTTGAGGCAAAGACTGGGAGTGACATGGTGTGGGTCATCTAATCCTCTATTCCACTCAGCCAAAGCTTGAGTTTTGAGTCAGCTTTTCCCCAGCCCCCTCATTTCCTAGTCCCTGTCATAGGTCCACGGGATCCCTTTGTCCTGGCACAGGAGTACCCTTGGCAGTGTTGGACTTATGAGACATGTTGTGTTGGTCCTCACCATGGTGCCTCCCCAAGGACTTCAAAAGGGCAATTTGGACTTGACTTTTGCCTTTCATAGTGTCTCTAGAACCTAGCTCTCATGCTACCTGTGACCCACTGTACTGAAAAGTTGAAGCAGAGTGGTAACAGAGAAAGATCCCTCTGACGACTGGGTGGACAGCTCAGGACAAGGTGTTGTGGCTGAAAGCAGCCAAGTGCCCACCAGACTGAAGAGGCTTTGTCTGGAGAAGACTGAGGGAAAGACATCTGGGAGTGATTGCGTTCCCCCATAGTGGCCAGGGATCAAGCCAAGAAATGCTATCTGTGACAGGGACCCATGGATGTTTTGATTTTTCTCTCCAGAGAGCATGAATTCTGGCAGGCTTGCTGTCTCTTAAAGCAATCATCTCTTTAATTAAAGGTGCACAGTCTTCAATGGGCTTGAGCTCATTCCCAAAACACGCCATTTCCAGAATGCCCAGGACTGGGATGAGGCTGTCCAGATTTCTATTGAACAGAGCTGAAAACTCCCATTTGTAAAATGATGCAACTGTGTTTTGTTTTGTCTGTCTGAATACCCAGAGTATCTAAGACTACAGCACCTATGATCAAGATAAAGAAAAAGAAATGTAGACTATGGCAGTTGATCTAAAAATACATACATATATATTTTGATGCCTCCCGTAGGAGACGAGTGGAACATTTCAGTGCCTTCTGGCCAGCCAACCTGAATAATGAAAGAACTCTTAGGGGAAGTGAAAAGACACAGTAAATATTTACGAAGTTAGAAGAACATCTAGTGGCCACATGTAATGGTCCTATGTTGGTAGCTTTAGCAATGCAGTTATCACAATGGAGGTGTGGGGTCAAGTGCATGTCCCAGAATCCTTGGGTGGGTGACAGGTAGCTCCATCCATGAAAAATCAGCCTTCGAGACAAGGATTGCTGCACCCAGAGAACTATTTAGAACCTGAAACAAATGATTCTTCTCAAAGTGCAAAGTGGCCAGAATCATCAACTGCATAGCATGAGGTAGAAGTAAAGTCTTGTTTGATAAAGAGGAAGAGACCCCTGTCTATGGAATGCCCACCATGCCCTGGATGCCCTTGAGGGTCATCATATATTTAGACAACACCATATCTTACCAGCTGTGCAACCTTGGGCAAGTTGCTTAACATCTCTGTGCCTGTTCCCTCATCAGTAAAACAAGAGAAATAATAGCAACACCTTATTAAGTTATTCCAAATATTTCATGAATTAAAACATATTTAAGTGCTTCTAAAAGTGCTTGGCATATAACAGGCACTCAGCAAATGAGAGTTAGCATTAGTCTTTCGTTGAATCCTCTCAGTGACATTAGGAAGTAAATATTATTACACTCCTTTTAGTAGGGAGGATACAGATGCTTGGGGAAGCCAGGTTCCTTGCTCAAGCCATTAAAGCCAGGAATGGCTAATTCTGCGTGTTGCTCTCCTCCTATGCACTAGCCTCAGTGGCTGTTGGGGTTTGGTACCCACTGGCTTTGGACCAGAAGTACCAAGCCTGGGGACCTTGGAGAGAAAGTCCTCTGTGTGAAAAGTCCCATCCTGAAAGGAG